GCGAAGGCTCTCTGAAGGAGACCCTCCCTGCCCAGGCTGGATCTGAGAAGTGTTAGTAGGAGTCTGTCACCGGAGGGGGCTTTGGGCGGGGACTTCACTACAGTGTAAGCTCCACGGGGTAAGGATTTGTATTCCGTTTATGACCCAAGGCCTACAACAGTGTGTGGTACATAGTAGGTGTTCAATAAGCAGGTGGTAAAAGAAAGAAAGAAAGAAAAAAGGAAGTGAGGGAGGCAAGAGAAAGATAGGGGAGAAAGAGACAGAGAGAATATGAGTCAGGGTAGATGTGTGAAATGGCATGGCCATTCTGGAAACTGAAAGTACAGAGTTCCAGGTGGCTGTAGCTTAGGAGGGTGGGGCTGAGCCGAGGGAGTGGCCTTATCTAACCCTATTGTTGGTGTTGTCCGTTCCTTATCTCTCCACGGGGCCCAGTACTTTGGGGCTGGGGTGAGTTTTCCCTCTCTCAGTCCCTGGGGGCTCCTGGTGCCTACACTGAGTGTTAATATACACACAGGTATTCAGCTTGTGCTGTGTGCTGGAGATACACAGATAACTCAAACTGAGATCCTACCCTCCCAGTCTGGTGGGGGAGACAGACAGTAAACAAGTGGCTACAACAATGGGGAGAATGAATGGTGCAAGCAAAATGAGATAAGATTGGAGGGACAGAAGGACAGGTTTCGCTCCAGGAGTGAAAAGCAGGGAGGTTTTTGTGGAGGAGATGGCACCGGAGGGGATGTTAGCCTGAAAGGATGGCAGAAGAAGGGAACTGGGTGGGGCAGGAAGCATTCCGGGAAGAGAGACATCAGGCCCAAAGATGGGGCCTGGGAGGATTCAGAGGCGAAAGGTAGACTGGGGCCTTGAATGCTGCTCATGGGTGTTTGGACTTGCTTCTGATCTGACCACATTTTGGATAATTGTGCCAGCAGCCACACACCTAGTTAGGGCTGCTGAGTGGTCCCACTTCCAGGGAACCCCTCAGCAATCTTCTAGCCAGCAGGGGTGAGGGGTGGCTAAGACTCTCCCTGCTCTCTCTGCCTGGACTCTCTCACCATCTCTTTTAGCTCCAACAAGGAATCTACCAACCAACGTGCAGCTTTGTTGTGTCAAGTTCCAGCAAAGGGCTGACCACAGAATGCCTGGCACAGGGTCTCTGAACACTACCCTTCTCTTCTTGTCACATGGGAAAGGAGGTGCTAGTCCTTTTTCCAGGGTGGTGGTAGGGAGAGAAAAATATAGAAGGGAAATCTTAACATTGTAGCACATCAGATTATCAAGAGATACTGAAGATCTTCTAACCTCCCTTTGCCATTTGACAGATGAAGCAACTGATGCTCAAATAGATATGCTTGTGTTGCAGCCATGAAGTTGGTAGAGGCATGGCCAATCTGGTAGAGTCCTGGGTCATAGTAGGGCCGGAGAAGGGCAGTGTCTTCTCTTTTTTTAGCCAGGACCAAACCGATACTCCTAATTTGTGGGCCTTGCAGACACAAGATGAGTCAGGCTTCTTGTGAGTCAGTCTGTTGACAAGCCATCCCTGGCCATTCCTAGCCCATTCAAAATAGATGGAAGTCCAGGGGAAGGGTATGAGCAGGCCAATTTAATTAGTGTGGGCTCTAAGGTACCTTAAGTTAGCCCTACTGAATTTAAACCGCCTAGGGGAAAAAAAAAACTGTAATTATTTCCTTCTCTCCTCTATCCTTGTATTCCAACTCCCAACCTCCATGCTTCCCTCATTCACAAAACAACCTTTAAAATAGGGACTAGCACAGAGACGCCCATAAACTAGGTCTCAGCGTTCCTTTTTTCTGCCCCTTTCCCCTGTGAGCGCTGGGTCCTGGAAGGGAGCAGAGTGAGTCCGGAGGTGTCCGCAGGGCCTGGCTGTATTCTAATTTAAGGAGGTTGTTACATTGAGTAGAATATTATTCCAAAAATGCACCCAGAGTCTCTTTCCTGAACCAACGCAGATCCTTTAGCTGCGGGGCATTTCTTTTAAAAGCCCCTTTTCTCTCTTCTACAGATCAAAATAAGCAAACTTTAATGGTAGGGAATTATTGTTTATTTTGTTGAAATCTAGTTCTGAGTTTTCCTACTTGAAACGTGTTTTCCCCAGGACACTGACCTATCCTTTAATTGTTTGGTGCGAGGCATGTTAGGGGGAGGGGCGTTACTTGTTTATTGGAACAGCGCAGTTAAAAAAAAAAAAAAAAATCAACCTAGGCTAACAGTTTCAAGGCTCCCCTAAAGATGTATCCAAACAGGCAGCCAATCAACGCTTACACAGCTTTTTCTGCTTGACTCTTTTAAAGAGACAGTGCCGACAGTGTTTTATCCCATTTAAAGAGATCCGCTCTCTAAAAACAGTCTGAAAATGGGGGAGCCTTCCCCTATTTCGCCGGTACCTGGTCTTAAGAGTCTCTAATGAGGGGCACGCAGTGTGTCTTCTGGGTTCTCGGCGTGGGCAGAAAGGAGTCAGCAGCAAATAGCTGGGTCACTCTGCCAGCCCCCCCTCAATTTCCCATTGTACACCTGGGTCACTGACAATGGAAGCTTCCCCTCCCCCTACGCCTGACTCTCGTCCCCTACACCCCAATTTAGCTCCATTTATTTGAAGTTTGCACATTTCTGTGGCGCGCATTCCGCGTCGCAGGCCGCCCAGGTGACGCCCCCCCATCCCCGAGTGGCACCCTTTCCCGTGGAGAAGCCGAAGGGCTAACTTGCCAGGACTAGCAAATCTTGGAAATTTGGGAGAAATCACTCTCGTTCCTCTTAGTTGAAGTCCCCTCTCCCCAACCCCCCCCAGCTCCCCAAAGCACGCCAAGGGCCATTTTCGCGCGGCTCCACTTTGGGGTTTTCCAAAGTATTTTAATGATCTAGTAAAGGAGCAGCCGCGCGCCTCGGCGCCGGCTCGAGCCGCCC